AGTCCCTCAGACACTCTGGTCTCTAGGAAGCAGTCAGGAATCCCCATATATTTGGTATCCTCACTGGTTCTCCACCAGGTAAAGCATACCACCCTTTTCATTGCCGGAAAACCCTCCCTCCTTCACCAGTAAGATCTGCCTGCTCCCTGGAAGACAGCCCCCTCCAGGACCAAGGGGCTCCCGTGGCCGATTTTCCCTGAGTCCTTAAAAAGTCCAAGATCTCCTTCCTTAGGGCTCAACCCTCCAATCTCCCTCTTCCTATCCCCATTCCCCCTTTGCCCTCCTACGCCCCCAGGGGCCACCATAGCCTACTGGGCTTCCACTGCACCATCTGCTCCAGGGCGGGGGCCCAGTAACTGCCTCTGCCCTCTTTTGTCTCCTGGCACATCCGGGTCTGTCACCTGATAAAAGCTCAGGACTGACTAAGCAGAACATTCCCCAGCAGTGGAAGCCCACTGTGTTCCTCTTGGGTTCCACCCCACTCCCAAGCTTCCAACCTAGAAGGCTGACCCCAGACACCCCATTATCTGGAGTGCTGATTTGATCCTGAGGAACAGCTTGTGAGGGATGATATCATGGTTGCCGGGAGGGATTGGATAGGACCTTGGGGAGTTTTCCGCAAATTGTCATAAAGGAGATGCACATAAACCCATACTCCTCCCCCTGCCGAGAGCCACAGTGTGTCTCCCCCTTCAAGCCACTTCTCCAGAAATCACAGTGCAGAGAAGCTGAGAGCTCCTTGAGTAGAGGGAGGCGATGGGTGTGCAGGGAGAGGAGGGGCTTAGTTTCTCTGAGATGAAGGCGACACCTAGTGGTTTGGGGGGAAATTAAGGACAATGCCATTTTATTCTTAGGTACGTACGTCTTTATTGAGCACTGGCTGTCTTGCACGAGCTATGGAGGTGAATACAAAAAGCTGAATGATATAGACTTACCTTTGAGGAACATACAGTTGAAATCCCTGGGGCCAAATGCAAGCCCCCAACAAAATCTCTTGCCCCCAGCCCAGTAGAAATGGAAACTTGAAGACGGCTGTCTTTAATACAAACAGATGTAACTCCAGTTCCAGCTCCTGACACTGTTAATGTAAAGAAATTTCATTCTATCTGAGCAAGGAAAGGAAGGACAGAGCAGTCAAAAGGGTGATGGGACAATCTGAAAAAGACATGGCTCTAACTTCAGACCCAGTCAACCAAATAATACTTTTCAAGCAATTACAGTTTAATGAAAGAAGCAAATCCAAAGGATATGATCTCTGCCAGAATCCCAGAATCTTATATTATTCACTCCTCTTTTCTAAAGATAATTGAAAACTGAGTCCCAGAAAGGGAAGTCTCATAGCTTCCTCTCCCATCCCTCTCCCCCAACCCTATATGGCTTTTTAATAGCAGCTCAGAGAGTAGAATCCAGGTTTCCTGGTCTCTAAGGTGGGGCTATGTGCAGATACTCTGCTAACTTATCTAACTCACCGTGTGAAGCCATGCTTAGAGGGTAATGGCCATCAAAGACCCAAATGATTCTCTCTGGAAAACCTGCAGACCCAGATGAGGATCAACACCACTGTTGCCCAGACTCCTAGATAAGTTCAAATGCATGATACGTCATTTCAAGCATCTTGCCCCTTCCCCCTTCCTTCCAACTGGCCACTAACATTAGGAAGTGGGAAAGGGAAATGAAGGATTAAAGTTAATCACTTAATGCTGTCTCTTCTTAACATCTGATGAAAGGTTTTTATTTTGTTTTTTCATTTTGGGGGAGGCTGAAAATATTAGATAAATGAGAACTTTGATAATCTACATATTTCAATTATCTAATTATGTTCTCACTGATAAGGACAATAAGATTTGACTGTATTTGGTGACCCTACTGCAACTCATACAAAGCCTGGGAAACCTAAATTTTCTGCTGGCCTGAGCAGCACCCAGCTAGGATCCAGCTTTCTCTCTGTAGAGTCACTAATGCCTCCAACTACTTTGTGGACACCGTCTATAATTTCTTCTGGGACAGAGCCAGCCCTAACACCTCACATCTGATCCAGAACTAAATCGTGGAGCATCAAATTAGCTAGCTGATAGAAACTACTGTAATTTCCAAGCTGCCCTGTTCCTTAGTGCAAAAAATCCTGACCTCAGTCATGCGCAGGCCAAAGGAGCCTCAAGACCCTTGCTGAGTTCTGAGGTCACCGTGGGGTTCGGGCTCATGCCAATCTCCATGTCAAGCCTTGATGCCCCAAGCAGACTTCTAGTTCAATCCTGAACTTGTAACTCACCTGATTTCACAGCTAATTCTGGACCCTCAGGTTTGCTCTACACCAGACCATGCCTCCTGGCCTCTAAGATTCCAGAGAAATGAAACACTTTCCAGTTTTCTCTCTGCTTGACCAAATGTTTTGCAGAAAAAAAGGCTTTCATTTATGCGTGATTGTCTCCTATGCACAAGACAGACAGGTCCAAGAGAACTTGCCAACAAAGGGCAGAGAGCAGCCACAGAAACTAAGACTAAAAAGTCAAAAGGGGATACATTTCAAATGCAGCATTTCAAAAAGGGAGAGAAGGAGGCAGTATAAAAAGAGAAACATAGTGAAATGTATTAAAGGCAGAGAAAGACTTTACTAAAATTCCACATTATTTCTTTTAGCCCCAGTGAGGGAAAGACAGAAAATTCTCAAAACAGGTCAAACCCCCATTATTGTTCATGTGGCCCACTCTCCATCTCCCCATTTCCCTCACCCTCCATAGCTGTGCACAGTACGGTTCTAGACCTTGGGTCCAGTCCACTTCTCATAATATTCAACATCCTCAAAGAGCTACTATTGTTTAAAGGGTCAAGGTTTTTACCTTAAATTCACGCATCACTTTCATTTATAAGTTAAGATGTTTTAAATTTTAAAATGTTTTCAAATCAGATCCCAGCTTCTAACTTACCCATCTAGATATGTATTCTAAGAGTCGAACTGATACATACTGTGAGAGTCATAAATATCAGTTTTCATGGAAAGTGCTTCATGGAAAACCAGTGATTCCTAAGAAGGAATTTAAGGACTGTCAAGAGAAGCAACCATGTATATTCATCTTCATAATGATTCAAGCTCCAGGTGAACCCATTTTTCACCCATTTGCTCTGTTCAAGCCTGGACTGGCACCTCTGTTAGTATCCAGAAAAGTCCCAGTGGTTTCCACTGCTTTTCCACGCTTGGCCTCTTTTCTCAGGTTGGTATACTGCTTCCCTATGTTCCTAGTCCCACCCTTCACCATTACTACCATTCCCAGTAATAACTTACCACCCTTTGGGAGCATCTGATACCATGAAGTCTCAGATATAATATTCTTGGTTATATTTCCTTCTCCACTCTATTTAAAATTCTACTCACTTCACAAAATCTCACTGAAAAAAAAGTGGCATGTGTTCCCTCACTTTTTAGGTCCTGCTCAATTTACAAATATCTCACATTAAAAGAAGCAAAGGAAAATGATCTAGATCTAAACAGTTTCTAGAGAATGGAAATGTATTAATCCCCATTTTAATCTTCTGCTTTACTTAGAATTTTCTAGAGAAGTCAAAGACTGGAAGAGGAGGAGAAATCTGAAGCAAAATTTGACAGAACTGTACTCTCTTTGCATGGCTGCAATATGTCATGGAAAACAATACGAGTAGCTACAGTGGCAATGTAGGATTGGTTGGCAGACAGACTGAAAGCAGGAGATAGGTTAAGAGGCTCCTGGAAAAATCTAAGTACGAAATGTTGAGTGGCTGGTCTAAGACGGTGGCATAGTAACTGAGAGAGAGAAACAAATATGAGATAATTTGAAGGAAGAAACAACAGGATTTGGTGGTAGACTGGATCTACAGGTGAGGAGGAAAGACTCAAAAATTCCCTAAGGCAGGGGTCACAGAGGCAAAGGCCCTCCAGGGCCATCCAGGAAATGCAAACTGAGAGGCAGCTGGATGGGGATTTGCAATCCATGAAGCCCCTGCTCCATCTAAAGGGGATACTGACGCTCTGGGATGGAGCCGAGAATTGCTAGTTCTTACAAATTTTCCTTTGGACTGTTTCAACAGCCTCTGTAACAAGTCTCTGGGCCTCGAATCTCACCTGCCTCAAATCCATCCTCCACGACGATATGTTTAGGTGCTAGAGTGATCTTTTGAAACAAAAACTTAACTGTGTCACTTCCCTGCTTGAACCTCTTAAATGGTACCCCATGGATGCTGTGTTTTTCAAATTGTTATTTTTAGCAGCAAAACGCTCCCTTCAAACAAAAGTTTAAAGTAGAACAGAAAAGAAGCCCAGCTGTTTCAGATGAAGTAGCGGAGGTGAGCCCACAAACCCACGTCCCCTGCCCTTCGTACCTCTCAGATAGAGCTCCTGAGCCTTGAACCTCTGGGCAGCAGCCCTCGGACAGGGGGATTTTCCAAGGGCCATGTATGTACAGATGATTTCAGGGGAATCCATTTCTAGACCCTCATCTTCCACATGTACTCTTTCCTAAAACTGATCTGCCCGAGAATGCACTTGTGCTCACACAGTCCTTCCCCTACTTTATAAAAGAAAGTCATGTCCCTTGCCCCTGCCAAACCTTACTATGACGAATTGTTCTAGAGTGTAAAACTGGGGCCCCTAACAAAGGGATCTATAAATGAAGATATTGGTCTAGGGAAATGTTGAAAGATTAATCAAGGTGCCTTAAACTAATGGGACTTCCTGCCTTCCTCACCGTATACATACTTCTGTTAAGGGTAAACCTGGCATTGGAAATGGAGTGGTTAGTAGCTATGCTGGGATTCTCTACATTGGTACAGCCAAAGGGAAATACATTTGTGATATATTTCCTTTTAAAAGTAACTGGAGTATACATTTAAGTTGAATTTCACTGTATATAAATTATACCTCAATAACATGACTTCAAACAAACAAACAAAATCTAACTGGAAAGTTTTATAGGCCACCAAAATATGGAGATACACTGAATAAAACCCATGGATAAAAAATTAAGTAACTAATTTTGGTTTTGGTGTGCTTTTATTCAATAAGACAGTTTAAAGTCTACTTTATCAAGTCATCATGAATTTTTTTAACATTACAGTCAATCCTTAGCTTATTTCAACTTATAAAATGATTAATATTTTCTATCTCTTATTAACAATATATAAATATAAGTGTGGATAATAAATGTTAGATTTCAACGTAAAACTGTGGTGGGGTAGGTATTATTATTTCAGGGCACCCATGAGTAAAATGTTTGAGCTCTGTGGCTCGAAACAGCACTTTGAAAACCAATGGCTACATAGTGACTTTCGATGCTATCAGACCTAAGCCTCCTTTCTTCCAATAAATATTTTAAGTAACAGCACCTTTACTAACCTAAAATGAAACTCATAGATAATATAAGATATCTATACCTGTAATTTCAAAACATCAATAAAATGTCCTAACTCTAGTAGAAAAGAGAAATAAAGAACAATAACTTACAATAAAATAATAGGTATTTCAATACATAAATGATTGTACAAGACTATGACAGAAGACTTATGGAAGTGCTCAGATGTTTGCACCAAATTATAAGGAATGAGTAAATTAGGATTTAAGAGAAGCCATTCCATTAAAAAAATACAAAATTAAATACCGTGTTAGGATAGGTAACAACAGATGAGATTTCCTTATGTATGGACACTCTATACTAATGTTTGGTGGAACATTTGAAAATCATGCAGAACTCAGGGTATTTGACATCTAAAATGTACTGCCAGTGTTGAAGTACCTTGATTAACAAGATAACATTCCTTCTTTCATAAAATACATGACCTAGTGGAATAGACAGAAAAGTAAATACTTACTTTAAAACAAGGTAGTTGTTATCACAAACCACTGTTGGCTGTGGATGTTTGGCAGATGTGAAAATGCTGGATCTCTTATGGGGCACTTGTGCGTGTTCTGTAGAAAGTCTCATGGGTCCTCCCTGCTGAGTTGTGACTTAATGTAGACAATCTTACTCCAGGTCATTTCCTTTAACCCTCCTAACTCCAGCCGGCAGCCTCTGGCATAGGCTACCAGCAAGATGGCTCAAGCTCAGCTGTCTTCCTCAGTGTCCCTGTGACCACAAGAAACTCGTATATCCTTACTCAGCCAAACAGAAAGAATACAGGCTATTCCACCACTAACCCACTCTCTGTCCTTCCACTTCCAATTGCCTTTCCTCTTCTCAGATAAATGCAGAGCTAAACAAGTCCACTGTCCAAATAGACAGTCTAAGTAGGGAAGGAGAAAGTGGTCTCTCTTTCATGTAGACTCTCTTTGATATCTTCTTGCTTGGTTTGGGAGACAAAAGGAGGGGAAAAAATACTCCCTACTAAGCTCATGACTCCCTCCTTGAGTCATTTTATACCTGACATTGACTGAGAATGAGGTAGGGTGATGAGGGACAGGTGGTTAGTGGTGTGAGGTACCAGGGCCATCTACTACTTCCTTGCAAGCCTTCGAAAGGGTGAATGTCCCCAACCATTAGCAACTCTCTCCAGAATGTGTGGTACTTACTTTCTCTGTCCTCATTTTTGGATCCAAGTCACCAAATCCAGGACAATAGGAAAACTTCAACTCTGTATCTTCTACAACATGCTGAAGTGAAGGAAAGGTTGTATGAAACAAGGGGCTCAACTGATTCCTAAATGAAGAGGCTAAGTCATCTTCTGAATGAGGGAAAGAATCAGGGGTTGAAGGTTCAGGCAGAATAAAGAAAGAAGACAGAAACAGACTGGGGATAGAACACAGGATGAACACTTTCTCTCCCCACCTCCTGCCCCCACAAAAGGCACACACACATACACTACATACAAAATTTTGCATATAAATCAGAGACACATGGACCCAGGATCTCCTGAGACCCTCGAAGGGGGCAGGACCCAAGATCAATAAGTCATAGGCTAATAGAAAGCAAGCAGGAAGGTAAGAGTCCATTATTGTATATGTAGGAGGAAGGAGGAGTATTCATGCAGATGAAGCAAATTCTAGAAGATCAGACATGCATATACCCAGAAACATTTCATGCCAGATGAAATGTTTAATCCAAACTATTCTAATTGTTTAACACTATTTAACCTATTTTTCAGTGTCTTGCCATGATATCCACTTTTATGTGGATTTTTTTTTCAGTTAAATAGGTACAATAGTACTACACAGTTGGTCGCATCTCCAGAAGAGAACCACATATGGAGGGTCAATTGTAAAGTTATACACAAATTTTGAACTGTTTGGAGGTTCGGCGCCCCTAACCCCCACATTGTTCAAGGGTCGACTGTACATACACACATATTTGGATGAAAATAAGTCTCTAAAAACAACAGGTGTGCTATAAATGACTACAAAGACTCCATGTGAGTAGATGAGACAGTCGTTGTCCTCAAACACCTGCTAGGTCCCCGAGAGAGAAAATTGGAGCAGTAATGTGACGCTAGCCTCTCCCACCAAATGGCAGCTGAGAACACCTCCCATCAGCTACTGAGAATAACTAAACTGTCTAACAAAAAGAGCAGAGAAGGTTGCCCACCATCTGTGCAAAGGTTTTCAAATGTTTCATCTCCTCACTAAAAATTCCGAGGGGAGCCGGTCAGTGATACATGACCAAAAGAGAGCTGAGAAACTGTTAAATTGGGTTAAATGTAAACAATATTTATGAGAGGCTTTTAAAGGACACAAAAATAAAAGTCAGAACATAGTTCCCTGCCTCACCCACCCTTAAGAAGTAGACTAACTATAAAGAGACAAAAGCCAGCTTACGCAGCAGAGCGATCACGTGCTCCCTCCCCTCCCACTGGCCCTACCCACCGGTCAGTCCGCGACCTTGTTCTTATCAGATCCGCTCCTCTTCCTCTCCAGTGAGGCTGACACTCACAGACCGCGCCCTGGGCCCCCTGAGTCCCTGCTGAATTCAGTCAACGAGAGGCATCGACGAAGAATGGAAGTCAGAGGGACGCCAGAGCCAGAGGATTTCCTCCTTGTGTCCCTCCGCCTAGGCCAGCATCTCCGATAGAAATCGCGTGTCCTCTGTGACTGCAGCTGCCCTCGGGCTGGCGCTCCAAAGTTCCAGCTTCTAACTTACCTTTGTTCCTTCAGCTGTTGCTGATCTCTGGATTGCCTCGCCTTCCCTTGAGTGGCTTCCCAGCTCTTCCTTCACTTTTATACCTAATTCTCTGGATGAAATTCCCTCTAATTTAAATACTTAGAGTGATTTCTGTTTTCCTGGCCGGTGGAATTGACCGCTACTGAGAACGAAGACCCTGATTCCAAAATTTCTAATTCAGAGTTCACTGCTATTGGTGTGAATACAGACTGAGTTATACGGAAGAATGAAGAGACAGGATTGGTTTTCCTCTTTCCCCAAAAGAACACAGGAGAGGAGAGAAAAAGAGTTTGGGGGAAAGAGAGAGAAAGGAGCATTATGGACTTCCTACTTCCCCATCCTCAGGATAACTTGGGGAAGAGCCGCTGATAAGGGCAAGGACATGTACTGCTAGCAGAAGCACAATCTGTTACAGCTTTAGAGAGCAACCTGGCAATTTCCACCAAAGCCTTTAAAATGTTTTTACCATTAACCCATCAATTCCACTTCAAGAATTTAGATAAAGAAAACAATCATAGATTTCGCTTCAGAGATACTTAACACAGCACTGTTTATAATATTGAAAAATTAGGAAAGATCTAAGTTTCTAGTAATAGGACATTGTATAATTAAATTAGGTTACACTCATATATTAAAATCCAAGCAGCCCACTAAACATTGTTTCAAGAGATGTACGGTATCAAAGATTGTTCACCATACATCATTAAATGAAAACAAAATTGAAAAATGTATGGAATAAGTCCAGTTTTATTAAACACACATACACACACACACACACACATAGTAGAAATCTGGAATGGTAGAAATCAAAATATTGAGGATGGCTATCTTTTGGGGCTAAGATGAGTTATAATTTTATGTATAAATGTATTTTTAATGATTATGTACTATTTTATAGTAAGAAAAAAACTACATAAGGGTTTTAAAAAAAAGGCATCACAGGAATGAAAGGATACCAAAAGATGTTTTTTAAATGTCACTGAAATAGGTCTGTGGTTTCCATTTAACAAATATACCAGTCAAAACTGATAGAGATTTTATGTATAAATTACTGGTATATTCGTTTATAAAGACAAATTACTTTAAAACAATTTATACCTCTTTTATACAACTCCACCACAGTTAGGATTCAGCACAATAAATACTTGTTGAATAGAATTGAATAATCTAGTGTAAAATTTTTATAAATGATGGAGATGAGGAAGTTCCTACTTTACAGATGACAGCAAGTCCCTCCCTTATACTTCAAACACACTATTGGCCATCACCTTCTTCTTACCATGGCTTCAACCACAGCTCATTCTCCTAATCATCCTTCCATCTCAGTGTCTGCTCATTGCTCAGTGTGGTGCAGATCCTCTTCCTCCTCTGAAATGTAGCCTTCCCCTCTCCCACGCTCTGGTCCTCAGCTTTCTGCATCCTTCTTCCTATACTCATTTCCTCATTGAGTTCATCCACAATCATGGCATCATCTATCACCTCAGTGGAAATAATTTCAGGTGGAACATCACCTTGTTTCCCTGGGTGTGGACAAGTGTGCTGACATTGCTACATAAATAAGGCATTTTGATATTGCACAACAGTAATGATTAGAATTTTACAGTACAACTCACCAAGGAAAAGACTGCGTAGAGGATATGAGGAAGAGTTGTTGGCATCAATGGCAGTGAACTCCCTCCCCCTTCACATAAAGTAAACTAAATAAAAACACATAAATAGAAAAAGCAAAGCATGCATTTAAAATTCACTGGTTAATGGTATCATACTTTGGGGAAGGAAGAAACTAAGTAAATGAAATAACTAGTCAACAAAAGGTTTTTTAAAGGCCAGAGATTCTGCATTTGTTAAACTGACTTATATGAACAAAGTATGTATTTTTATTAATCATATCTTTGTGTTTATTTTTCTGGTGGTCAGTCCTGGTCAGCTATCACATAACTCACACTCAACTTCAAGACAAATCTTCTGACTCCCTCCCCTCCCAATCAGATTTCTGCCCTTAAGCTTCTATATAGAAATTGCAAACCACCACTGGACTTGCAACTTCATTATTTAGACCCAGGGTATGTTAATCATAGGTCCCAAAATAAGCTAAGGGCTACAAGCCTCCCTCAGACCCAATACATGGAACATAGAGTTGACTTTTGGAATAGGAAGATGGCAATTTGGGGCTAATTTCTGACTAATCCTGGCAGGAAAGAAAGCATGTGGTAGAAACCTCCACAGAATATTACTCAGTAGGAAAAGTCATCAAAAGCCCTAAGACCATGAGTGAGACTAGGCCCAGATACTAGACTAGGATAATAGCTCTAAAAGCCAAGCGTCCCTGAAAGGTAGAACCAGCCTTAACATCTAGCTAATGAATATGCTTCTGACAAGCAAAACAGAAGAGAAGGAGATGATTGAAGAGAACAGAACTTCCAAGGCTAAGAGCCATGAACACCTCTAGAGGGGGCAGAGGAAGCATCTATACTTATCTAGGCCTATAAAACTGGGCTGTGCTCTGTGGTGACTGCTTATTGGGGTGCATAAGGAGGCAGCTTCTGGGGCTTGCCAGCCAAGCAGAAGGGTTATTAGAAGTATGTATATGTGGAAGTCACTCCTCAGAAAGGGGGAGCTAGCCAAGCTAAATCAGAGGTCAAGAACCAAGGGGAACCAACTGGGCTTCTGAATCAGAGTGGCAAAGACAGGGAAAAAAAGAGATGAGGATATGCTTCTAGGGAGTGATAAGAATACAACAAAATCTGTGGGATGGTTCATGTCCATAGATGGGAATTCACTCTGATCCTACTGAACCTCGCTAGGTTAAAGGCAGAGCCTTGAACATAATACATCCATGGGGAACCATTTCCTTCCTCTGAGCCCCTGTTACCTCCTGGAGTCCAGGTTTCTTCAGATTTGAAGGCAGAAGGCTGCCGTGTTACTAGAGAGATACTCAAGGCAGGCTGGGAGTTCCAGGTGTGCTCCTCTGGTCCTCTGAAGGCCACCCACCCCATCAAACATTATAGGTAACTTCAGCACCATCAGGAGTCCAGCCAAATGCTCTGGTACATTTCCACAGCAAACTGTAGTGATACACCTTCTGTGTTCCCTCCAACCACCTGGCAGTTCTCTATCAGCTCTTCCCTTTCTACCTGTCCATTGGGGTGACTGGTGCTTCTTGAGGCTCTACTCCAGATTATCTCTGCTCAACTCTCTGTCTACAATTCTATCTATAACCATGATTCCAATAACCGCTTCTATATGCCAAGAATGAATTACCAGTCCATTTCTGTCAGCTCTGAATTAATATATCCAATTGCCTACTGGATGTCTTCACCTGATAGACTTGTAAACACTTCAAACTCCAATGTCCAAAACCTGGCATGTGATTTTCCCTGAAAATAGCTTCCCACCCTAATGTTCTCTTACTCAGTAAATGACACCACCATCCACCCACATGTTCAAACCAAAAACCTGAGTCATCCTTGAATTCTCCATCTCCCTTACTCTCCACATCCATGTCTTGCTGGATATTCTTCCAAAATATGCCATGCACTTCTCCACTACCTCTGCCCTACGTAGTCCAAACCACCATCATCTTTCACCTGGACTAATGTAAACAGTCCCTTAACTTGTCTCCCAGCATCATGTGTTTACCCTCCCCATCTACTGCCTATAATAAACAGCCAAAATGCAGTGCTGGCAAAGTCATTCCTCTGAGTAAAACACTTGAATGGCCTTCCCTTGGTAGGGATGAACTATGAACACCTTATCATGGATTTCAAAGTGCTCCATGATCTGGCCCCTGCCTACCTCTTCAGCCTTGTCTCACATCACATCCCTCCACTCCTTCTCTAGGCTCCAGTTACACTGAACTTATTTCATTCCTTTTATATCTATCACCCTTGCATATACTGTTCCCTCTGTCTGAAGCATTCTTCCCATCTTTCACCTGATCACCTCAAAATCATTCTTAAGGTAAGTGTTAACATCACTACTTTTATAGACAAGGTCCCCCCCAATACACACATTGTATTCCAATAATACTCTATTTTCTCAGTACTATTTTTCAAATTTAATATTGCTCAAACATCATTATATTTATTTGTGTTTATTCCCTCATCCCAACAAAATGCTGTATTCTCAGTGCCTAGGACAGTATAAGGCATAACAGACTCAATTAATATGAGAATAAATAAGAAAAATGAATAAATGACAAAATCCAAGTCATTTGGATGGCTCCTCAAAAAATGGGTTCCTCAAGGTGAGGACAACTGAAAGGTGGATGCCGAGGGAAACAGCAGGTCACAAGAATCTGTCCCCACAGGTTTGACAGGGCCAGGTGGATGTGTTCCAGGATAGTTCTCCCTTGCCGATGGGTGCAACCAGTGCTGGGACACTGGTGATGCAAGGGTAAGCAGTCCCCTTGCAGCTGAGTGCACTGAGCTACCTGCTCAGCTGGGCGACATGCCCCTGGCATCTATCCTAACCTACCTCAGATGGGCCCAATCAGCCCTCTGGGAAACAGGGACACAGGCCTGCATCATTCCACATCCAGTCCTGCCTTACCTCGTCCAAGGTGGTGGATGAGCCGACTGGCACCTTTTACTCACATGATGGTCTTGTACATCATCACAGTTGCCGAAACCCCATCCGTCAGAAGTCCTCAAACCAGTTTAATGTAGTCAAATCTGATCATTTAAACAGTCTTTAAGGTACTGCTCAGACTCTCTTGAATAAAAAGTGCTTGGTCTCTCAGATAGCTACCTCTCCCCCTGCTTCCCTACCTAGAGGCGGAGCTGGATGGACGAGGGGAAGGGGATTTCTTAGCAGCAAGTAAGAGTTGAACTCCTTGAGCAGGTGGTCCTCTGGTTCCCTATATCTTCAGAGCAAAGTTCCTTTGCCCCTGTTTGCTGCTGACTCTGCTGGCAACAGGGCCAACTTCACAGCTTGTGTTAACTCAAGGGTCCAAGGTTCTCTCCCAGCCTAAAAACTGCCTGAGTGGCGCCCTCTGGCAGAAAAAATTGCACTGCCTTCCCCAGCACTATCTTTCTGAGTCTGGTTGTGACTATCACACCCCTCAGATGTGTGTATTGTCAGCATAGATGCAACAGAAACACTTCACAGTCTCTGTTGCACATGGGAAAGGCCCCACATCCTGACCTCCAGGGTCAGACATTTTCATGAAGTCTCACTGATGCCTCTTTGAAATTATCTCTCCATTTAATGCCTACATTTATTTTCCTCTTATCTAGTTCCAGTCTTGCCAGGCTCAGCAAGAATGAGTGCCATGATGGACTAATGACATCTGCTATGAACAGATGAGAGGGGAGTTACACCATGAATGGGGTATGTGCTGGTCCTTAATCTCTTCTTTCTCAAACCCACTAATCCAAATTAATCTGCTCTCTTTATTTGTTATCCACCAAAACCCTACTTATCTTTCAGAACTAGTTAAAGCTTTATTTCTTCCATGAAGGTCAATCTAAGCCATAGTGGTCTCATCCTGCTCTGAATTAACACCACTCATTATCTGGTTTTTCGATATTAGTACTAGGTTATAAATGTTAATAGTAAATAGCACTTATTACTGATACAAGAAGTGATTTGAAGAATGGTGTATCATTGGCACAAACCATGACTGGTTTTGAGGAAAGATAAGATATCTCATTCTCTGACTATCATGAAAGAGATCTAAGGGTTCTCTGAAGATACCATCAGTAAACTCTTTTGGGAAAAAGATACCAAAAATAGGACTGGAGACAAAACAAACTGTTTTGCTTAAATCAAGGACAAAAGTATTAAGTCTGGTCACTATATCTCAGCAGTAACGGGAGCATGAGACCACTTACTCTGATTTTCCATCCTGTGCCGCTATACCATTTCCCATATTGCATTATAGCTGCCTGTATGCAGCCCAAGAGTCCCTTCGTTCTACAGATCAGTGCCCCTTTGTAGAAGGACGTTCCTGCTCTATTGTACAATAAGATTAAGTACTCCAAGGATTTGAAATACTTCCTTCAATTGAGGAATCACAGGTAGAGGCAATAATATTTTCTTGATTTTTGCCATGCATACAATGGATGCTCACTAAAACACAACCTCTCCCACTAAAATGTAGGCTGCATGAAGCAAGGACATTGTCTAATATGTTCATTACTGAATCTCCAGTGCCTGGTTCACAGCAGGTGATGATATGTATTTCACTAATGAATAGTTAACACTTAATGTTAGATGAGGACAATAATACACAGAAAAAAAGGTTAATATTTTTGTCCTACAATATATCTGTTTTTAAGAGAGGTATCATCTTTATTTCAGATTCTTGCTTTCCTACTGCATCTGTTGTGCAGTGAGGACAAAGTTAAAGAAGTGATCAAAATGGGTCATAAACATAAAAAGATCTAAATGTAAATGTTAAAACTATAAAACTTTCAGATAGAGAAAAATCTTTGTGACTTTGGTGTAAGCAAAGATTCCTTATGCAGGGCACAAAAAAACGCTAACTATACAAGAAAAAAAAGTAAGAAATTAGACTTCATCAAAATTTAAAACTTCTGTTCTTCAAAAGACACCATAAAGAAAATAAAAAGGCAAGCCACTGATTAGGGGGGAAATATTTTCAATTCATAAACTCACAAAGGACTTGTATCCAGAATATATAAAGAACTCTCATAACACAATAACAAGACCATATAAAGAACTCTTACAATGCAATAAGAAGAAATCAAACACTCCAATTTTTCAAATGGGCAAAAATTTAAAAAGACTTCACCAAGAGATATTGATGGAAAAATAGGCACATGAAAAAGTGTTCAGTATCATTAATTGTGGGGAAATGCAAATTAAAACCATAGTGAGATACCACGACACACCTACTAGAATGATTTTTAAAAACTGACAATACCAAGTACTGATGGGGATGCTGGACTCTGGAAGTCTCACACAATGCCGGTAAATGTAAAATTGTACAGCCACTTTGGAAAAGTTTGGCAATTAAACATTCCCATATCACAGGACCTAAGATTTCACTCCTAGGTATTTATCCAAGAAAAATTCAAACACATGTCCACAAAGACTTATATGTAAGTGTTCACAGGAGCTTCCAAAAAGTGGAAAACAACCTAAATTTCCATCAACAGATGAATGGATAAACTAATTGTGGTATATCCAACTATGAAATACTACTCAATAATAAAAAGGTGAACTATTAATATACACAAAAACATAAATGGATATCAAAAACAATACTGAATGAAAGACGCCATACACAGGGTAATACTGTATGAGTCCATTTATATGAAGCTCTACAGGAGGCAAAATTAATTTACAGTGATAGAAATCTGATCATTGAATGTCTGGGGTGGGATGGGCAGAGACTGATTGCAAAGGGTAAAAGGGGGATTTGGGGAGGGTGACAGAACTGTTCTATATGTTGACTGCGGAGATTACTCTGGTGTAAACATCCGTCAAACTCACTGAATTATACCCTTAAAGTGTGTGCATTGTCTTTTATGTAAATTCTATTTCAATACAGTTGAAAAAATAAATCATTTTGCAACAGTTAAAGGGTTATTTAAAAGTCTTTTTTGTTACCAGTAGTGGCTAGCCGACAAATCCTTACAGAAGTTGATTGGTTCATTGGTAGTACAGGATCATTCCTGATCCATCAGCCTTCTGAAACATATCAAAGAAATGGATTCTCTGCCCAGTGGAAACAGAGTAGGTGAGGGAAATTCTTTTCCAAGTCACAGAAGTTAAGAGTGTGAATTTGCACATCCTCTGGTGATTAACCCAAGTTAACTTTTTAAAAAGCATGCCTAAGCTATGATGAGAATTGGAGAAAGGTATTTTTTATCAGAAGGTTAATGCTTCAAAAGTGAAGAATCCCCACTGTTGGAAAACAAAGCACTTCTGGTACATACTCTGACTGGGGTCTGGACCTTCCAAAAGGGCAGAAGATAATCTGGCATGTATGCTGGCAGGCACACACACACACACACACACACAAAGGGAGATGGGCAGAAATGTCTCCCTGGCCACAGTCTTTATGGCACAGGGGAAGAATGGCTCCACCATCAGAGGAACAGGTTGTAAGAAAAGCCAGATGGATATGGTTTCTACTTGCAACCCAATTCACAAATATTTATTATGATCATTTTTTTAACTGTCAGGCACTGAAAAGGCTTTCTGTACAAGCACAGGAAAGGGAGAAAGCAAAGTAAAACCTACTAACCGCCCTCCCTCCCTGCCCTGCCTTACACTTCTCCCCTCCCCAATCCCCTTAATTTGTTGCTCCTCAACCCCTAGTAAATGTTAAAACCACACCGAGGGCTTGGTTGGACCAAAAGAAAAGAAAAGCCCAGGATCCAAGTGTAGAAGGGAAGGGTGATGAAGCCAATTTGTCATTTCTAGTTCCCAGGATCCTAAGAGTACTCTGATGTCCTTTCAGGCATTTAACTCTCTCACTCTGTGCACAGCTTTGTTGGGAGAGTAAAATCAAATGTTTGCTCTCACTCAACAGAAACCAAGGAGTTTTCCTAGGGGTTCCTTCCTCTAGATCCTTTCCTGATAGAGCCATAGATGGCCCTTAATTTAAGCTTGACCAGTCAAATAATCTCGTGGGACTTCAGTTCTTTCAAAGAGTGATCCAAGAGGCAAAGAAACGGCTTGCAGTGGTGCAGGCAAGACAGTTAAGCAGTTCTTTCTCTTATGAGTTCCAAGCCTGGTTCTTTAGGCTTCCCTTCTATCCTGGGAGGCTCTCCTCAGTGGAGAATTAAGTATTTTAAGTTCCCTCCTTCCTCCCCAGTCCCCCACCCTTTCTAAATCCCTCTCATCAAACTTAATGTCTATTATCAGTTTGGTGTGGGTTTTTTTCCCCCAGTTTCTACACATCTCATTCTAGTTTTTAAAAAATACAAGTATGTGTCATATAAATTGGATTATATTATACTTACTGTAATACAACTTGCTTTTTATGAGCTGCGATCTTCTATTTCTTTTGTATCTTATCATCCCTGATTAAAACTGGATACACAAAAATCCTGTCAAAGTTGGAGTCCAGGGGTAGGGAGGACTCAGTCAATCTCACCATTCAGTAGCCCATTTATTACCCATAACAGAATGGGCTCAAATTCAGTTAGCAGAATAAGGATCCAAAAATGCTAACTATGCGTCAAGCTGTAAAGTTCTTACAGGCAATAGGAAGAAGGTTCTTCAGCAGGGAAATCTCATGCTGAAGACAATGTTTGATGAGGAATAACGTGGTAACAGTGTATATAACATAAACCAGAAGAAACAGAGATTGGACAGCAGGGAGAGTTCAGTGGCTAATAGAGAATAGTGGATCCAAAGAAATAAAATTCTGGATTATAGTGGTGGCCAGAAAAATGGAAAGAAACTTTTACCAAATTTTAAGAAGGTAAACTAGTAGAGTGGAAGAAACAAATGATTGGAATTAGAGGAGCTAGATCTGAATTCCAACTCTGAAACTTATTAGCTGTACGATCTTTGGCAAGACACTTCCCTGCTCCATATATCAGTTTCCCTGTCAATAAATGAAGAATCTGAAATATCAGGGTCCTGAAGGGTTTTTTGGTTTGGTTTGGGTTTCAGCAGAACACCCACCCCCAGGAGAAAAAAAAAAGCAAGATTGCTCAGGGCCCCAGATATGCTTCATTATATTTCTCAACTACCTCTGCATCATTCTTGAGGAATCAACAGAGGACTAGGGTACAACATTTGAGAACTCTCTAAAGACTCTACTACCAACTCTTAATATCAATGACTTAAGGGGGTAAACTTGGTAGAGGTGCCTAGGAAAATAGTAACGACTATAAAAGCTACCACAGAATCATGTAACAGAAAGGGTGAATTGACTTCCAATAAATTTGCCTGTTTCTCCTTATAGGTCAAACCCAATTTAATGTCCAAAAATCTCATCCAAACCTCGTGCAAATGATAATCTAACCTCTATATAAACAACACAGTCACAAATAATTCACTGTCTAACAGTTCAGCTCATTCCAACTTGAGGTCCTCTAACTATTCAAATATTCTTTCCTTAATAAGTCAAAATCTGTCCTCCACCACTGTCATCTGGAATAAAGGTCCCTATTCCACCTTCTGGAGCTAAATCAAGTAAATCTAACCCCTCTTCTACAGGACAGTCCTTCAACTGTTTGAAAAGAGCTATCAAGTCTACTTTACTCCCCACCCTACCCCTTATTCTCTCTTGCTCTGACCTACCAGGAACGTTCCATGGAGGTGGCCTGCTCCAGTTTTGGATCAATTCAACATTTTTCATGCATCTGAGTACAAGCAGATCTGCACTTATTCATGGCTTTAAAGACTTAACCAAATCAGAAGATCTTCCTTAAGAAAAATGACTAGCTTTATAACAAAATGTAAACAGAACCCAAATTCATTATCTGGTAACTAGTATTTTCCTGGTGAAAATTAGCTGCTCCCAGTCAGAAGTAGATTGCTAAATCTTTTAACGGATAACAAATTGTAAAAACATCTAGCCAGGGATCCAAAAAGATCCAAGATTCAAGGTCCAATGAAGCAAGTATAAGTAGTATAAATTAATGGAAGCACCCTGACTCCAGGCTTGTAATCTCATCAGCTCTCAGGGGGCTTCGTTTGCCATTCCTCATCTCACCATTCCATATTCCATCACCAGAGCTGCAAAATCAGGGTCTATGGCTTGGGCCTGGGTATCTTCCAGTCTGGATAATTTGGGGATGGGGAATAGGAAGTATGACTGAGTCCCAAAGGAGAAAGCGAGCTGGCACAACCCATCTGTGATGCCTGTGGGAGTGCTGAGCCTTTATGGTTTCCTGTGCCCCGGTTGTCCTAGTAACCTGAGGCCTCCCTATTTGTGTTGGCATCATGGGGCCAAGAGCGGAAGCAAAGCTGGAGCACCAGGAAGACTCGCAGGAAAAAAATGTGGGTAATGCAGCAGTTATGCCACAGGAGGGTCAACCCTAGGGCATAAGAATTACCAGGTTGGGGAGGGGGGCTGCTATCTCATAAAAATCAGTTTCCAGATACTGCTTCTAGCATTTCTGATTCAGTAGGTGTAGGATGGGCTCAGAAACCTGCAATTTTAAGAAGCCACCTCCTACGAAGTAAGACAAAGATCACACTTTTGAAAACAAATCAGTAGCTGGGGAGAAAAAGTGTAACTATCTGCCAATTTCAGAAAGCTGATATTATAGCATAGTAGTTCTGAATGCAGGGGTTGGGGTGAGATTTCCCCTCCAGAGGACATGTGGCAATGTCTAGAGACATTCTGGGTTGTCACAACTGAGAGGGTACCTCTGACATCTAGTAGGTAGAGGCCAGGGATGCTGCTAAACATCCTACATTGCAAAGGATTGCCCCCTGCAACAAAGTATTATCCAGACCAGAACGTTGGTGTCATGGTTGAGAGGATATTCTGCCCCTCAACCCCATTACCCTCAATCCACAGAAATCCACACACTCTTGGGTCACAGTACAGAGTCTTAGATGAGGTCCCCTGGAAATAATTTGAGACCCTCAAAATGATTTTTAATAGTGAATGTTATTAAATATATGAATAAAAGGAGATGAGAACAACAATCAACAAAGGGAGGTAGGTATGGACAACAATGGTGAGCCAAGAGGGGACTCAAAGAAGGATGAAGCACTGGGTAAAATCGTGGGAAATGAATGCTGCTTCCTTGGTGGATGCAGCCCACCCACATGCAGAGGACTGGTGAAGAGAAGATAAACCTATTAAAATAACATATACGCCAAAATAAGAAAAACAATAATGAAAGAAAATGGATAAGGGAAATGTGAAGAAGTATCTTTAGGATTTGCCAAGAACAGATCTGGAATGAAAAGAATACATTAGAGCTGCTTCTGTAAGAGTGCTAAACAGAGACTCTGGCAATGATAAGAAATTGAGAGGACTCAGAGGAGGTCAGGAATTACGTGAGAAAGGAAAAAAATAATTATTCATGAAATTCTAGCCCTAATCACCCCCTAAGAAAGATGGGTCCAGAAAAAGTTCCTTGGTTTTACTGAGCAGAGATAACGAAAGGGTAGGGGAATTGGGGGAAGAGGAGCCACCCAAGAATCCTCCAAGGAGGATGCTCAGAGGCGGTGGTCAAAGAGCATGGAGGAGTAAGGCTCAGAGAGGAGGGGGAAAGATGCTTCTGAGGAGGAAGGGAAAAGAGAAGGGAGGGGGAACGTTAGAGACTCTTAGGGAAAGAGATTAAATGAGGGATTTTTTTTAAAGTTTTGCTTAGATATGGAGATGAGATATAACCTTCATCTTCTACCCCTTCTAAGAAACTTCCAACAAAGACTGACATTACTCATATGGGCTTTGGAGGCTGGGTTTGTGGGATTTTTTTTTCCCTAATTGTGACAACATGTAAGACTGGCCTCCAGACAGATCAAGAGCCCAGTTACACATGCTTTTACCATGTTTAAAGTGACCATAAGATTGCTGGAGCAGCCAAAAGACAGCCAGGGGACAATGTACTGACTCCCAGAGTTTAGAGCTGCACCAACACAAGAGCCACTTACCTCATCTGGTTATTTACATTTAAATTAGCTAAAGTTAACTAAAATTTAAAATTCCACTCCTCAGTCACACGAGCCACATTTCAAGTGCTCAATAGCCACATGTGTCTAGTGGCTACTGATTAGACGGGACAGGCAGGGAGCATTTCTATCATCACAGCAATTTCTTTTGGACAGTGCTGGAGTAAAAAAAAAAAACTTAGGTAAATAGCTAACAAAAAACAAACGCTTTTTCAAATCTTCAAAGAGCTGCCACATTGAAAAACAAGTAGATTTCTCCCATATTGTTTCAAAGAGCAGAACTAAGGGGAAAAATGAGATGCTATAGCTAGGCAGATTTCAGCTGAACAACCCTCTAGTACCTAAAGTCAGATAACAGTAGAAGGGGCAGCCTCCACTGCATGTGGCAGAAATCCCTTCCATCCAGGAGAGACAGTCAAGCAAAGACCCACTTGACCATCTTTCAGAGATCATGAAGAACTAGATGTCTTTTCAGTATCTAGTTCTGAGTCTACAATTAAAAAAAAAAGAGCAATTTACAAATGAGCTAAAAGTGAATCATAAATAGAATTTTAAGTCTATCACCACAAAGAGACTGTAGAGCAGGCAGGAAAAATTAAAGTGTGTGAGTATATACGGAATTCAGTAAAAATTAATGGTGGTTAGTTGAGGGTTAATTATTAGTGGTGGGGGCAACTGTGAGTGCAGCAATTTGTAAGCAGAAAAAAAATTTTTTTAAGAAAAATTGGGTAAGAATGATTCCAATGGTGCAGAGACAAGGTAGGAAAACTTCAATATGGGCTATCAATGAAAACTTCACTATAGTTGAAATCAGCACTATAACCATAAAATCTTTTATATTCTTTGCCAGAGAAAATACTGTCTGGGTATAGTAACTGTATGTTCTTGGGACTCTGGCCCCTCCAACCCATCCTCCTGCCATTCACCACAGTGCTACAAGTCATCTCTCTCAACTCCTGAAACTCAGCCTTCTTCATGAGGTTTCCTTAACTCGGCAGGAATAACTCTGTCCTCTCATCCTTCTCGTCTGGATACAGAAAGCCAGAGGATATTGTCTCTTAACCTTCCATCCTAGCTATGAATTTAACCATCTTCACCTTCCACCTCAAAATGTACCTGGCTTGATTATAATATATTGAATATATATTCATATATTGACTTATGGTTCGATTATCTGTGCACTTTCGTGTGTAGGTGTACATGAGAACATTCATACATACACACGTGATGACATCTATTGTTGGTAAGCATTTAGGAATCTGGCACCAGGATTATGAAATGCACTACAGAATGCCTAGCACAACACCAAGCTTAAGTGGTCACTCAATGGACTTGACAATAATGGCTATATCACGCTTCTGGATGCAAAATGTTGGAAGAAGAGACTGAAGTAGATGTGAAAACTTTGAAAACTTTTTTTATTGCGGGAAAAATAATGGAAACATAAGCATGTTTTGCTCCATCTAGAGGAAAAATGTTTAATCACAAGGTGAAAGCTGAAGCTTGGTGAGAGCAAGCATAATAGAGTTTACAAACAGTCCAGAATAAGAAAAAGGTAATAGAAGAATGAGGAAGATAGAAGTGGATTGTGCAGAATAAATAAAGCCTAACCTTTAAAAAATATGAGGTCTTACCAAACAGAAAGGAAGAAAAAGAGAAGATTTAAACAAGAGAGTGTTAAAGAAGGAAAAGAGCCAGAAAGGGCTGAAGGGTTTTTTTTTTTTAAATCAGTGAAGAAGTAGTGGTATATGTTGGCAAAGTGAAGTGTAGAGTTGAGGGGAGGGAGAGAATTTATAGTATAGGAAGTTGGTGTGAAGTTTTCCTCTAAAGATGCCCAGCTGAGCAAAGAAGGAATGAATGCAAAGGCCACTGGGAATAAGATAGGGCTGGGGCTGAAACAGCATATGAGAAAGCACAAGGGCCCAAAGTAGGAAATTATTTTCTCTTTAAAAAATTAACTGACCCAGATTTTCTTGTTTGGGGCAAAGGCAAATGCAAAGTTTAAGGATCTTTAAAGTGAATTGTAACAATCCTCATTCTTGCAATTGCCTTTGGCCCAAAATAATGAATTTAAAAGCTGACAGAATCAGTGTCAGTTTCTGAGACAAGTACCAAATACCACTGTAGAATTAATTTTAGAAGAGAAATCAGACTAACAAATTGCTATGTTTATAGAAATACTGTCGTGAAAAACAGCTTTAGCTGTCTCTTTCTATCAGCCACAGAGTAAATATAGAAACTTTATAGTTACATACATGTCCACAGAAGATAATAAGTACCTAAACTAAAAAATAAGTACCACTAACATAGTGGTAAAGCTTAAGTTACTCACTTGTCTTTGTATATTATAGCCCAATACCCCCATCCCCAAAAATGTTTTACTTGATTTAGGATACACAGTGCAAGTTAAAGGGCAGCAAAGAAAAGAAGATAATTAAAAAAAAAAAAAAAAAGACCACAAGGTGATGATGAGGAAAAGTAGAACTGTAGAACCAAGGCATTAACAACACAGAATTCCCCTATATCAGCGAGGGGAAAACAGCGCAAAAGCAAGACAAAGGAAAACACTCAATTCATATGTAACGGGTCTTGATAGCCTCACTTGGGGTTTTAAATCAAATATTGAATCAGATTTTTCAACTTTTCTATTTTTTAAAATTCAACAAAATTACTGAAGTTGTTTGATAAATGTAGTCATACAATTTTAAGTGACTAAAAACCAGATCAAAGCCTAATCCTTTGGCAAAGACCGAATGGCAGGCAGCATTGCGAGACCCAGGTATCCTTGCCTTTAAGCTCCTCACTACTCTTCCCGCTTAGAAACCACACCTGCGAGGCCAAATCCGAATTTATCGCTCGGCATTCAAAGCCTTTAGTGACCTAGCCACAACTGTACCCAAGGAGCCCTAAGGCCCCGCTGCTTCCTAACCTACCCCTCACTCTGCCAGCGCACTGGCCTCTGGACAGACCTTATCTCTGGGGACTGGCCATTTTCCCCTTCCTACCTCGGTGTGAGTCTCCTTCCACCTAAGGCTCTGGCTCGCCCAGGCCTACCCTGGCGCAGGGCCACGGGCCGGCACTCCAGCCAACCGCGCTCTCGCTCCGTTGCCCTGCACTCCTTCCTCCCGTTTCTGGGCCTCTCAACCCGACTCTCGACTCTCGGCTTTGCCCCACCCCTCTCCCTTCGACCCGCGTTGCCCCGCGGCTCGCCAGGATGCAGTCACAAGCTCTGCGGTCCGCGTCTATAAGGCGTTTCCCCCGGGGCGAAACCTGGACCCGACCCCTCAGAGGCCCCTTCCCTCAACTCTCTCGGGCGTTTCCACGACCCTTCCCGGGCTACCCGCGCCTGGCCGCCCCTCGGGGCTCTGGCCCCCAAATCTCCCCG